TTAAAAGTTAACCAAAAAAGCCAAAACCCAATCAAATGTAACCTATCATTATAGTTTCGTCAGTTTCTTTTTTTGCTTCAGTTACAAATTTTAGCCAATAGTTACATATATATCACATAAGGATGATTTATACTATTTCTTTTCATTTTTAGTTGTTACACTTTTCTTGGCACAATTATAGAAACATTTATGTTAAACATTGTCCCTAAACTTTCAATTTTAAATAATTTTCGTTTTTAAACTATTTTTTACACTTATTTCCTTCCTCAACTCTTAAAAATATGCTTTTTTGTCTTTTTATTAATTTTATCCATTAAGAATATCTAGCAAGCATTTTTTTTTAAATTTCTTTTAATGACATGAATGTGCATAAAACAAAAAAATTTAGGAACTAAAAAGGTTCAACGCATAAACTTAATGAACACAATTAACAGAAGTATCAAAAAATGCATTTTTCATAATTAGAAGACGAAAAAATTTCAAAAAATAATTCAAGACTAAAATTGTTCAAAATTAAAAATTTAGAGAGTAAATTTTGGTATTTAACCAAACATTTATTTAGAAAAGTAAAATCATTAGGACTTTAAATTTCATATTTGCACTAAATTTTTTAGTAATAAAAAAACTTTTCTTTTAAGAGTTTTCTTAATAGAGTTAAAATTGAAACAAAATTTTTAGAGTATGGTGTTTTGCAACATAGACTATATATAAAACATGAGTTATTGGATTTTTTTTTTTTCTTTTTGGTCATACAAGCCATTGGATGGAGAGGCCCTTTATTCTCTCATAGTTTATGTCTCTTCTAAAATATTTAATATCTATATATTTTTTAAAAAATGTAACAAATAAAGATAAATAAAGGTGGTATATGTTTTTAGATAACAGATGCTTGTAATGCTTTCTTTACAATATAATGCATAATGTGATGAGCAATTAAATCAGTACATATATAAAATATCATACATAACTTTATTTTTGAACAGATTGTAATTATTTACATATTAATTAAGGAAATGAAGAAAGGAATTTCGTGAGATTCGAACATGCAACCTACAAGAGGTGAATAACCTTAAACCATATTCAATGCCACTAGACCGAAACGGACTGTTCATCATACATAACTTTTAAAGAAATAAGTCAACAATATAATATTAAATTTATTGTAATACTATATATTGTGTAACATTTATATATTGTGTGAAATGTTACACAGAAAAATTGTGAGCTTAGTTTTTCTGTTTTTCGATGTCTTGAATCTTGGGTTTAGTTGTTTAGGCTTTAACCTCAAACTCTTGCATGCTACCAGTTCATGATATGGTCAGAATTTGACCTCTAATTTTCTAAGGGAAAATTATTGTCTAAATCACAAAAACTTCATTTTTCTCCCCTTTTTTTCATTTTAAATATCTCAATAATTATACACAAAATCAGATATACACAAACTACAATAATTCTTACAACAAAAGGTTTTATTTTAGGTTAAATGTCAATTTTAACCCCTTAATTTTAATATTTTATATAATTTTCGTCTCTCAATTATTTTATACAGTTTTTTTGTCTCTCAACTCTATCGAATACACTATTCTTTCGTTAATTAAATATGACGTGGTGATTAACTTATTGCAAAATAACTTCTTTTTTTTTTTATGATATGGTGATAACATGTCACCTTCTAGCTCACGTGGGCCTTGAATTAAAAAAATAAAAATTTTAATTAATCAAAACTAAAAGTGAAATAGAATAAAAATGTAATTTAATGACAATACTGCCCTTCTATTCATCTTCTTCACCCAATTTCCTTCTCTTTTCCCATTCATCTTTCGGCCAAACCCCCTATTTGCACCCTTTATTTAATTCTTTTCCGCAGTCAACACATTCCAAAATTTTTCCTCCCTATTCACATCCTCTACTTTTCAAAACCCGTGAAAAACCCAATATTTTAACGAGCCGTCACGACACCGTTAAAAAGTGCACTACATGGCATTGTGGCGTTATTAATCCAACATGGATACTTTCTTTTATGATGTGGCATAATTTTTTATGCACACGTGGATACTTAAAAAAAAATCTAAGGAATTAAATGAATTAAAACATAATTAATTTATTTTATCTTCTTCTTATCCTTATCCTTCTACTCATCCTCAGCATCATCTTCATATGGGTTCCACGAGCTAGGTTCCTCGCGGGAACCCAGTTTCTGGGTTCCACGAGGGAACCCTGTTGCTGGGTTCCTCGGAGGAACCCAATAACCCAGATATGGGTTCCGTCTCACTCCCTAGGTTTCTTCTCCTTCTCGCCTTTTTCCTCCCTCATAAGAGGTAAAGTATGATCGACCATGATGGATCTACCGCTATTATATGGCTTCTATGATTTCAGATTCTGTGTCCATGTCCTGCTTCCCTTATTCTTAGCTTCTGTTTCTAATTTTATTTGTTTGCTACAATTCAAAATTGCGATTTTGTGAAAAATATGGATAATTTTTACTAGATCTTACAATTGTGCTTTTCTTCCTTGTGGTTGGTACCTTTTTAGCTATTGTGGTTTATCTTTTGGCAAATTCAAGTCTTTGAATGAGCTCAATTTGTGCATTTTGAATGATTTGTTGAGGAAGATTTAGTTTTGGGTTCTGGATTGGGGTTTAAGACTGAGAAGACAAAGACAACGGGGTTTCTGCATATTTGTTTTGAGTTTTAGGTTTATGCACACGTGGTATCCATGTGTGTAGAAAATAAATCACATAATCAAAAAAGGGATCCACATTGGATTACTAACATTATATAGTGCCCCGTCAATTTCTGGGTGCCACATGGTGCATTTTTTAGCGATGCCATGACGGTCCATTAAAATATTGGGTTTTTCACAGGTTTTGAAAAGTGAAAGGTGTGAATAGGGAGAAAAAATTTTGGAAGGTGTTGACCGCGAAAAAGAATTAAGTGGAGGGTGCAAATAGGGGCTTTGGCCTTCATCTTTCTTCATCTTTCCCCTTTAAACTCACGTCAACACCTCTCTTCCTCTCTTTATCTTCCCAGTAGCATCTTTCTTCCTTCATTTTCCTTTTTCCAACACTAATTTCTCTTCCCAACTTCTTTCATCCTTTCTTTTGAACTCACGAACTCAAGCAAACCCAAGAACTAAGTTATGGGATCGTGAAGAACCGCGTAATAGTTCGTGCAAACCTAGATCTCTAGGTTCCTCACGAACCCAAGAATTGGATTGATGATATCTAGGTTCTTGAGGAACCCAAATTTGGGTTTGCACGAACCGAGGAATGGGTTCCTGAGGAACCCATATCTGTGTTTATACAAACTTAGGAACTAATTTCTCACCCTCACCCAAATCAATCGTCAATTTATTTGGTAGCCTCATGTTCGACTTATCTAATCTCCACTTCTTGTCTTTCAGGGTTGGGAGCAGTCAGACGAACTTCAAAGGATAAACTGTGGGTCAAAGGCAACAGGCAACCAGTTGGGCAAGAGTAACGAAATAGGGTGAGGACAGTAAATGATGAATGTGCTGAGAACAATGGAACCTTTGCAAAATCCTTTGGAAAAAAGAACCAACGACCTGTTGGTACGAGGGGAAGGAGTTCGGTTACCTTAACTAAGATATTGAGTTTGACTCTTGTAAATGGAGAAATAGGTGCTGGGAGAGCTTTTTTTTAATGGGTCTAATACGACTCAATTTTGAATTAGTTGGGATTCAATATGATTATTGGATATCGGGAGGTTAATAAAAAAAAAATCCTTTGAAAAGAATGAATATGCTAAGCACAGTGATTTCCAATCCAAACCGGTTCTTCCTTCTTGTTCTTAACTTCAATTTCTCCTAGTTTTGTCAATGCGATTTTGGAAAAATACCAGATTTGACATTTTTTTTATAGCGAAAGGCGGGTTTATAGATGAGATTTTGCTTGGGGATTTGTCTACGGGGTAGAAATCAATTGATTTGGGGAGAAATTTGAACCGCAGAGCAATGGAGGGGAGGGAGAATCATTTAATTAATTAAAATTAACTAATATAAAATGGTTAAATTCTTAATTAATTTATGAGTTTTTCTAACCTCGCCTTAGAGTGTAGGTGCACGTCAAGAGTTTTGAAA